TTCTCAAATGCCTCAAGAAATAAACTCACTCACCAGCACAAAGGAGAAACACGAAAAAGAAAGCAACAAAACTGAAGTTCTTTTCCTTTATCAGAAGATAGAAACTGTGATAATATCGCTTTGCTAATCTCTACTAGTGTATGGAGGACACATTCCAAATTACTTGCATCTTACAAATTCATGGAATAATTTAACAAATATAATGCATCAAAATTTTACCTTCTTAATTTTGTCAAAATGGACTCTACTTATAATATTTACCAGCAGAATAGCAATTGTTTTGTAGAATATATATATTTTTAAAGGCGGCAAAAGAAATCATCAATACCAGACCTTGCTGTAGCACTTACTAAATCTTTACTAAGAAATAAAGATAATATGGCTAATTTTCAGTCTGCTTTAGCAAACTGTAGATTAGCAAGACTCCATTTTATACTGCTGCATTAGCATTGAAAAATATAGTGAAATCTGATTAATTAGTTACTGAAGTAATTCATCACTATGCTCTTATGCTCATCACTGTGGTGAAAATCCACCACAATTAAACTGATTTATATGCAAAACAATTCACCTAATCAGTCATTTCCAAATGTTCACTCATACTAAATCACAATGGAACTTGTGCCCGATAATTAGCTGGTTTACAAGGTTTTGATGGATGCTGTCCATGGACCTGTAAAAGCAAATGATGCTCACAAAGCACTTCATATTTCAGCTATTCTTGATATAAAACTCTTGACCACCTATATTTATTACGCATACAAAAAATATGAACTGGCACTTTATTTCACAGTTATTTGAGAGAAAACTAATCCTGGATATATTTTGCTACTGGGTGTTGCTGTTACTGCTGTTTGAACTCTAAAGTTTTATTCACTAGTATTAAACCTCAGGCTTAACTGTATTAACAGAATTAGGTACCAAATTTGAGTTTTGTACAAGGACAATTCTTTGCTGCCAAAAATAAGTGATTTTTCTCACTGTTATGGATGAAAGAGGGAATTGAAAACTGGCAATTTATTGTTTCACTTGCTTTTTATTATTATTTTCATATTGCCCTCAGTGTACTATCCACAGCAAAGATGAAGAAAACAAATTCATTTGCCCCGAAGGGCTTAATTTTTTTAATATTATTTGTAATTAGCAGCTTATTATAATGACTGCTACACACAGCCATACATGTAG